GGGGGGCGGGGAAACCCCTGCCCCAGAGGCCCGTTCCCTGCTGCCGGCGGATCGGGCCCCCGGGGGAACTCCACCCCGACATGTGCGTCACCCGGAAGTGACACGATCACGCCAGGCACGCTGGGGGCAGGGCCACGGCAATCCGAGGGAAAACTCTATGGTTTTCCCTCGTATGGCCATGGCCGTTTCCCCAGCGTGCCTGCCGTCGCCACACCAGACGCCAGCCGGGAGCCACCTGCTCCGGCAGAAGATCGACTTGGCAACCCTATCCAGGGCACACTCATCAGTGGCAGCCCCTAATCGAAGGCCTGGTGGAAGAGCTCCGTTTTACAGGCCCTGCGGAACTGTAAAAGGTCTCGCAGGGTCCTGATGTTCTCCGGGAGCTCATTCCACCAGGTTGGGGCCGCCACTGAGAAAGCCCTGGTTCTGGTGACATTCAGCCTGGCTTCTTTCGAACCAGGAGATGTTGCGACCCTGACCACAGTGCTCTCTGGGGCACATATGGGGAGAGGCGGTCCCTCAAGTAGGCAGGCCCCTGACCATGTAGGGCTTTAAAGGTTAGCACCAGCACCTTGAACCGAATCCAGTACGCTATAGGCAGCCAGTGCAGTGTCCTCAGCACAGGCTGTGAAAAGTATGCAGACGGAGAGTGATTTCAGCTAAGCATACCTTTATTTAGTTGAGAACAAAGACAACTGACCGGCTTGCAGGCCGGCTTATATTCTTTCAGAAAACCCGCCACCAAGCTCACCTAAACACACACCCCACTCCCGATAGGCTATTTACAGTAACCGAGAGACCTATTGGCCTCACGGCTGGGGGCCTAGCCCTTTCATTGGGCCTGGCTAGGATCCTAGTGGCCCATTGTCTTTTGGCATGAAGCTACTGAGGATTGAGCCTGGCCAGCCCGGGCAAGTCCGGGCATGTCAGGCTGAATACATTACAGGCTGGATGTGGTCCCGTATAGAAAGACCCAACAACACCCTGGCTGTGGCATTCTTCACTAGCTGCAGCCTCCGGATCTGGGACGAGGGCAGATGTCCTGACCCAGCTATTCTAAGTCATATCCTGGAGTTTCTAGTTTTGCTTGATATGAGAAGCTGACGGAATGCCATGTTGTTACCTAAGACCCTGTTGTGGCGTAATCAACATTTACTTTAGTCAAAGATGCTGCTTGGTAAAGAGAGTTTATTGTGGCTGCTCTTGCAGAAGTCACTGCTGTGAGGAAACCAAGGCTTTTTTGAGGCCGGGTACTGATCAAAGGTTTATTTGCAGAAAGAGAATATAAAACTGGACTATTCCCCTCAATGTAGTCTTTCAGCTACTTAAAGTGTTGAGATTCTTCTGTTCTTCCTGTATGTAAAGATGCTGGAAAGCTTTGATTAAGTATACACTTATTATTTATTATTTAACAAAGTTGTTTCTCAAACATACATGTGAAGCTGCCTCGTAATGAATCAGACTATTGGTCCATCAATGTCAGTATTGTCTACTCCAGCAGTCCCCAGCCTCTTTGAGCCCGCGGGCACCTTTGAAATTCTGACACGGGATGGCGGGCATAAAATGGCTGCCATAAAATAGGTGCTTCAGGAAGTGGAGCCAGCCACAAAATGATTGCTGCAGCTAAACTGCAGTCACACAGTGAAGATCATAAGGACATAAGAACATAAGAGAAGCCAATGTTGGATCAGGCCAATGGCCCATCCAGTCCAACACTCTGTCACACAGTGGTCAAAAATACCAGGTGCCATCAGGAGGTCCAGCAGTGGGACCAGGACAAAAGAAGCCCCCCCCCACTGTTGCCCCCCCCCCCAAGCACCAAGAAGACAGAGCATCACTTGCCCCAGACTGAGAGTTCCTATCAACATACATTGTGGCTAATAGCCACTGATGGACTTCTGCTCCATATGTTTATCCAATTCCCTCTTGAAGCCTTCCATGGTTGTAGCCTTGTTCTATGGTGGCAGCTGCTGCCAAAGCAACATTTTTTAAAATTCTGCACAGCTAATCCAGTGTCCAGTCAGGAGCCTTGCTAGGCAAAAGCTCTCCCTGGACCTGCCTGTTTCCTAAAAACACTTGGCAGGCACCAAAAACAGTGTCGGTGTGTGCCATGCAATGCTCCCCCTAAGCTGTGGAGTCCTGTGAGCAAACATTCTACTTTGTGAGCTACCGGCATTAAAGTTCTGAGCAGGTGATTTGGCTACTGCATAAATTAGTTTGCTCTGGAGCCATCCCTTTCTGAGCTAAGACAAAAGTGTGTGAGCCGGAGGCTAAAAAACTGTGAGCCAGCTCACACTAACTCAGCTTAGAGGGAACACTGGTGCCATGGCACCCCTGGGGACCACACTGGGGAGCCCAGCCTACCTTGACTGGCAGTAGCTCTCCAAGGTCTCAGGTTGAGGTCTTGCACATCACCTACTACCTGATCACTAACTGCAGATGCTGGGGATTGAACTATGGACCTTCTGTCTGCCAAGCCATTCTGCGCTGTGGCCAGGGGTCATTTCCTGCAGGAGTGCACAGGAGCGGAGCTCCGGCAGTAAAGAGCCCAGGGGGCGGGCACATGCAACAAGCCCCACCCCCTGCTCCCAGCAGCCCTCAGTCAGAGCAAGAGGCAGCCAGGTAAGTTGCAGAGCTC